CCCCCCCCCCCCCCCCCCCCCCCCCCCGCCCTATATTAGGCGAGCACCCTCCTTTCGGACCCCGCAACCACCCCACCGAAAAAGTCTGGGGCCCGACTTTTAACATTGAAAACGAACGTTGACATAAATGCAATCAGCACGCGCTCAAAGCAATCTGACAGACAGTCAAAAGAGAGATAGAAAGAGAGTGAATATGAGCGATAAAGCGGGAAGAAGGAATACAAAAAAGAGAAACATATGCATGAGAGAAAACTGCAATTGCAACGCTGATGTTTCGACGTCGGTGCTGCGGATTTGGCAAGAAAAAAAATAGTGTACAATTATTTGCATAATCATCGATAAATAAATCGATTTCAGCAATAATTTAGCAATGTTCAGTTAATTGCAAAATAGAATTTCGAAATTTTTTAAATGTCTAATATTATTTATTTCATTTCCCACTTATTGCCGCTGCTTTCTGTTTATTGCTTATTATCGATAGCTGGAACTGGCTATCGACTACACATGACATTCCGCAGCGTAGTGCCGGTGTTGTAAGTGGGAAGCTTAGTTGCATTCACAGTAAACGCAGGAAAGATTCAAGAAATGAAGAATTAATTAGATTAAAAGATTAAAGATTAAAGAATTTAAAATGGTCCACTTTTTGGCATTTGTAAATATCGCATTTTCTGTTGATCTCTTCGTCATCATACCCCCAGCAATGGGTATAGAAGCTAGAGGATACGTCTGCTGCTCCTGCCCCTCCACTCTTTTTCGGGGTGGGCATCGTGTTGACGCTGGTTTTCGATCCCTCCTGCTGGCTTACGTGGCGGCCCCACTCTCACTCTCTCTCTCTCTCTCTTTTATCCAAACCTCTGCTGATGCTCCCCTGTTCCTCTGTTGGTTCTACCGCTCTGTTCCGCTCGTTCAGCTTCTCCTACTCTCACTCTTTCTCTGCTCCTTGCACTCTCTCCCTTTGGCTGCGACTGCGACTGCGACTGCTGCTGCTGTGTGCCGCTAGCATGCATAAATCAATCAAGTTGAGTGTTTGCTCATAAAATGCAAAAAAAAAAGAAGAAAATTGAAACCAACACGGCAGCACGCTACGCTTTTCTCTCTAACACTCAGTCTCATTGCACTCTAACCCGAATGACAAAGGCGCTCAAGTGTCAAATGCAGCAGCAGCGTCGGCCGGCGGCACCCACTGAACCCAACGCTGACATAGCCATCGACGCTAACGTTGACGTCGCTTGCTGACGCAGGATTTTGATGATGCTGTTTACAGTAACAACAAACATGAGGGGCTGTGTGGGGAGCGAGACACTTTGAAGACGCCTCTCTCTCGACAGCAGGTGACTTTCCAACTTGCTTGGAGCCCATCTCCCTCTCTCTCTCTGTCTCCGTTGTTAGGGCAACTCTTAGCTTTTTTAATCAAAAGTAGAAAATTGTTAAAATAATGCCAAATTATGTCCCGGTTTGACAGTGCAATGAAAATCCAGACAGAAACGAATCTGGTAAAGAGTATTTCAAGCTTCGTTTCAATATTTTTCTCTCCTGACTTTGCTCCATTTTTTTTTCCTCTGCTTTCTTCTCTTCTGTTCTGCTGTGACGTGTAGAGTTCTTTCGCCTTCTCCCTCCCACTGTCTGTCTTGGTTATCAACGCCGCTGCCGCCTGCATGGCTGTCGTCTCAATCGCGTTCGGGCATTCGGCAAGGTGTGCCCTCCCGCCCTTTGAGTGTGTGTGTGTCTGTCTGCCTGCCTATGTAATCAGTGTGACTGCACTCTAATTAGCAGCAAACAAATTTCCAAAGTGGCAAACAGAGACAGAGAGAGATAGAGATAGAGAAAGAGAGACGGGGTGCATGAGTGAGCCTTGCACTTTGTGCTGTTTGAACTTTTCACTTTCGAAATTCTGCTGCAACTGCCATTGGAACTGCGCTGTGTGATACGACGGAGCAATCATCACGTGTCCATCAGCGAATGTATTTCACAATCATTTGTGGAGGGTAACGTTAACCCAAAGGCCTTGTGTGTCTGCCAGCTTAGGGTATTTGAAAAGTCTACTCTCCCACATAGCAAATGTATGCAAACGGTTTCAGCTGATGTTCCACACACACACATACATACGCACAGAGCGAAACAAAAGCGAATGCAAAACACTTATCAAGAACAGCATGAGCGCATTTGGAGCAGGGGCAGGGGGGAGCAGTGTTGCTGGAAGAGATAAAGAGAGCAGGGCTAAATGAGGGCGGCCGCCTCTTGTAGGCGTACGTTTGGTTTCGTTTATATTTGATTTCACCCCCTGCCCCT